GCTTAAAAAAAATAAATAATGATACAAAAAAAAAAAAAACTCTTCACAGCTTTAAAAATAACCCTGGGCTTTAAATTTCCTGGCTGGTTCCCACTGTACAACATCTGGTTGTGTTAAAGAAGGATGACATTTTCTGAGCACTTTTTTCCCTCACAATGCCAGGAAAATAAACTAGTTCGGACGGACTGCTAAGCTAAAATATCACATGGGTGTTTAATTTTCAAGGCCTTAGTTTGATGGATTGTTACTGCTGTCCTCACAGCACCCCTCCATGGGAGGTGGGATTTGGAGTGTAAAAGAACTCAGTTTTTCAACAGCGACAGCCTGAAATCTTCTGCATCTCAGAAGCTAAACACATTTTATTACAGAATGTGTTTATACCTGCCAGATATGTTGCTGTAGTGCATGTATGCGGCCACCACTACGCCTGTTCGACCTCGATTTCCCTACAAAACAATAGAGAAAACAAGAAAACGAGTTAAATTTGGTAAATGCTAAACATTTTACCACAGCTTACTGTTAATGAACCATGGGAGAAGAAAAGGCAAGAGACTTAAAAATCCCAAAAGGATTTAAAAAAAAAAAAAATTGAAAAAAAAAAAAATAAAACTAAACTTTTATATATAAGATGTTTGGGTTTTTTTAAAACTTGTTGCAGCAGAAATAAATTATTTTCTGAAAAATCTACATAAGAGGAAATTGGATTATTGGCAGATTATTGGTAATATCATGTTTTTGTTTTTGGCGGGAAAAAACAAGATGTGGTTGAAAATGGACAAATTTAAACTGCTATTTCCAAAAAGCGGTAAAATATGTATTAAAAAGCATAACTGTATTGGATTTGTTTACAGTTTGGTTGGTGTTTTCTTTAAAGTGATTAAAAGGTAGTTAGCTTTTAAGTGCTAACCAGTAAGACGTGTTCCCAGGTTTTTTTTTTTGTCTAATCTGCTTTGATTTGAAGGTAGACAGGATTATTTTTGGCGGTTTTGCCGACCCAAACCAGAGTTAAATCCTTACATAACAGGAAGTAAAACAAAGATGTAACCAAACATTTGGTAACTGCGGTTCCAAACTGCTATCAGCTAGCTGATGATGCTACTATGAAAAATACATGTAGCACAATAGCTTTTTAGCAGGGCCTCATCTAAGAAAGAAAAATGCCTAAAATTAAGGAAAATTTGGTAAATAGCCTATTGGAAATGTGAGATTTAAAATTTTAAAATCCTTTATACCACATTGGTTTTGTGTGCTTTGAATCTGGTAGCAATTAATGAAGTGATTTCCCCAAAATGTCATGTGTAAGAGGTGTGTGCTGCAGGATTTTCAGGAGTTCTTTTTGTGTTTATAGGCCTACTTACTAATTGTACCAAAACCTGATATCTACAGGAAAAATTAACCTAGATTTCTACAAGTACAAAATACTATTCCAGATTTCATGTCAGATTCATTTTTATATATTTTTTTACAGGTATCCCTTCAGCTTTAATCATCACCTTGTTGTGCAGGAGCACCACATTGCGCTGATCTCCACTGAGCCACGTGTCAATGGCTTTACACATGCTGCAGATCTTGTCCAAAGCTGGTGCGTGGTGATCCGGCCAGCCAAACTCCAGAACCTGAGGAGGATTTTTATTATTCAGAAAGCAGGAGTCTGTTTAATGTCTAATTCTTATGGTTCTTATGGCTCACTCCAAACATGAGAGGCTTCTAGTTACAGAAAAACAAAACCAAAGCTGCAGAAGGGTTTGCACCTTGTGGTTTAACTTGGTTAAATCATTCCTCTGCTCACTCAGGTTGAGCACCTGAGAAAGATAAGAGAGAAAGAGTATCATGTTAAAGATCTTCATCTAGCAGTGGAATGCTTTCAGGTCCTGATTTTGCTCACCAGGTAATGTTCACCATGCTTTGACCGCAGCATTTCCGCCACCTCTTTGAGGTTGCTGATGTAGCTGCGCTCTTCAGTTGCATTGGGGAAAGAGAGGGAGATGATCCTCTCGGTGATGTAGACCAAGTCAACCTCATAGCTCTCCTCCATGGTCTGAACCACACTCTGGCTCCTGGAAGATTTAGTGGGAACAGAACTTAAAGCCAAAGTATAGATGAACTAGAGCAAGTTGTAATACAATAGAAAAATGCTCAATTATGGGGTGAAATAACCATCAGTGAATATGTATTCATCGGTGTCTGAATTTTTAAATGTAAATCAAAAAGCTTAAGGTTTTTATTGGTTTCTTGTCAACTTATAGATACAAGTGACATATGATGTTAAAAAGATTATAAATTCTATTTACAAAGGCAAAACTTTGCCAATGTACAGTTACAAATCACATATTTAAAAAATACCAATCTATGACCCAGGGCAAAGCTGTCATACTCCTTACTAGTTGCAGGTGGCAGTGAAACTGAAAGTTCTTTGAAAGCTGCTTTTAAGGGAGAAAAAGAGGAAGAAGATGAAAAAAAGAACCGTCAATTAAACATTACGCCACACATGCACTGAAGGCATGTTTTCATCATTTTCATCTACTGCAGTGTGCTTGTGATCTGACAGGGCTGCAAGTGTCCGGTTCAATCCCCACAGCCTCCACTCTGGGTTTCTGATCCAAACCCTAGACCCTATTACTTACTATAAATTATTACTGTTTAATGGCAGTTGGCAAACAACCTTCAGTTTATTTACCACCAGCACCTTGTAAGCAATGACCAGCTTCATAAGAGGTGAATTTTTGGTATGTACTTGTACATTTGTGATTTGTGAATCATACCTGTAAATTTGTGAATCGTACTTGTTAATTTGTATTTTGTTCTTGTAAATATGTGAATCATAACTGTAAATTTGTGAATCGTACTTGTTAATTTGTGAATAATACCTGTAAAATTGTGACTCTTACTTGTAAATTTGTGATTTGTACTTGTAAAGTTGTGAATCATATGTGTAAATTTGTCAATTGTATTTGTAAATTTGTGATATGTAATTGTAAATTTGTGAATCGGTCTTGTAAATTTGTGATTTGTACTTGTTAATTTGTGAATTATACCTTTAAATTTGTGATATATACTTGTAAATTTGTGATATATATACTTGTAAATTTGTGAATAATACCTTTAAATTTGTGTATCTTACTTGTAAATCTGTGACATATACTTGCGAATTTGTGAATCGTTCTTGTAAATTTGTGATTTGTACTTGTTCATTTGTGATTAATACCTTTAAATTTGTGATATATACTTGTAAATTTGTGAATAATACCTTTAAATTTGTGATATATACTTGTAAATTTGTGAATAATACCTTTAAATTTGTGA